TGTCCCCCCCCAGGCGAGGAGGGCGACCTGTGCCTGCGCTCGTCGGACTGCGCGGCCGGGCTGTGCTGCGCCCGCCACTTCTGGTCCAAGATGTGCAAGCCGGTGCTGCGGGAGGGGCAGGTGTGTACCCGGCACCGGCGGAAAGGCTCCCACGGGCTGGAGATCTTCCAGCGCTGCCACTGTGCCGAGGGCCTGGCGTGCCGCCTGCAGCGGGAGCTCGGCCCCGGGGACGCGCCCCGCCTGCACACCTGCCAGCGGCACTGAGACGGACACACGGACGGACGGACACACGGACACCGGCGCGCGGCCCGGCCCCGCCGGGACAGACTCCGGCCCCGCCGGAGGGAAGGTTGTTTCTCAAGGGAACTACTTTAAAGCGACTTTTCTTGCAGTACGTTACTGTGTTGTGAATACTGAGCTGGCACTTACGCTGTACATAACGCCGGGACTGGTCGGGTTTTTCCCCCCCCCCTCGCGCTCTCCGAGGGACTGGGGCTTTGTACACACTGGGTTTTTAATCCCGGCTCAAAGGGATGCCACCGTCTGTTTGCGAGCCAATAAATTCCTCTTCCAAACCAGCCTGAGCTGCCTCTGCCTCCCTGCCCCGCGTGTGGAGCCCTCCCGTGCCACGGGAGGGGGGGAAATGCCCGTTTTGGGGGCATTTTGGATGGGGGGTGAGGGGACCCGTCAGAGCACCCCGTGGGAAAGGCTGATTGGTGTCACTATCGATTCAGCTGCTTTTCAGGCATTATTTAGGCCACCGATCCCCTCTGGCCACCAGAGCAAGGATGGGCACTGTGGCCAGGGGTGCAGGGAGGGCAGGTGTCAGCAAAACACCCTCCTGCCCGATTTTGGAGAAGGGAGTGAAGGATCAGCAGAGGGGCTGTGCTGGACCCGTCACTGCTCCGTCAGAGCAGTCTGTGCTCCGTGCACAATAAAGGCTTATTTTTCCTTCACTTTGCAGCGTGTTACTGTGGGGTTTCTCCCTGTTTGGCTGGCTTGGAGGGGGGGAAAGGTGCAAACACGCATTTTTTCCTCACCCCCTTTAACTCCTAACATTGCCCACCCACTCTGAGTGTGGAGTGTGGGGTTGGTGCCTATGCCTGCCTGGAGGGCTGCCCTCAGCCTCCCTGCAGCCTGGGGAAGGGGGGTGGGATGCAAACTCATGGTGGAGCCTTCCCTCTATGACCCAAAAGTGCTTTGCACCCCAAATCCAACTGCCAAGCAGCACCTCCCTGCGTGGCTCCGAGGGCATCGTGTCCCATTCGTAGGGGAGCATCCCACGACTTTTAAATGCTCCCTGCCCGTGGGTGTTTGGTGCTGCCTGTTTGGGGACCTGCAGGACAGGGGGTTACAGGATACCCACCCAGCTGCAGCTCTGGCAGGAACCTGAGAGCACCAGCTGGTGCTAAACCGAGTCCAGAAAATGGAAGGGAGGGAGAATACAGCCCCAGGTAGAAGGAAATGTTCAAGGGATCGTGTCCAGCTTCCTTCCAGCTCTTCCTTCCAGCTCTGGGACCGGCTTGGAAGAGCCAAAGCTGCCCCAAAACAGCTAATGTAAAACACTGACGGTCCTTAAATCACCTGAAAGGACCATTCAAGCCTCTCCACCCCAGGGCTGTGTCTGGAGCAGCAGTTGGGTCGAAGCCACCCCCTGAAAGAGTTCCTGACTCGGAGGCTCGAGTTTCGTGCTTTAATCTTCGTGCAAGGCTTCAAAAATTAAAAATACCCATTTTTAAAGTGCTTCTAAAACACGCACTTTTAAAACACATTATTTTAAAAAGATAAATTCTAGCATAGCACACACGATGATATGGTTGTTTTATTATCATAGTAATGATCACACCCAGTAACAGTCAGTGACACTGAGGTGGTGAAGGTACCTGGCTTTGAGTAAAAGCATCAGGAATTATTCAGGTGGATTCAGATCTGGGTGTCAGACCCCTTTCAGCCCCACAGTGGCCTTCTGGTGATACCCAGCACTCTTCAGCACTTCAGACACCTTAATAAAGTGATTATTTCAGTCCAAAAGACCTCGGGTACCATTTCTTGTCATTGTTAGTGCCGTGTTCTCCATCCTCTTGCCAAATTAACCAGAAATGCTTCTTATGCCTTGACATTCTTCACTTTTCCAGCCTGGAAAATTAAAAAAAAAAAAAAAACACATTTTTTGGTTAGTCATTCTTAGGCAGGTTTGGGTGGACAAGGAGCTTTAGCACCTCTTATTTACTCCCTGTTCCTGGTTATAGGGCTGGAAGAGCTGCCAATAAAGCTCCATAAAGTTAAATATTGTTATTTACAGTAATAATAATAAAACCTGAAGCGCTGTAAAGCAGCCTCCCCTAACAGCTGGCTGCTGGCAGCACAGCTTTCCAGCTTCCTGCAGACACAGGGACACCTCCCACCAGCCCAGGTTGCTCCAAGCCCCATCCAACCTGGCCTTGGACA